TCATTTGCATGTGGTAATTGATAAATCAATTCAAAATGAACCAACCATAAAAAGCGTCTGTTCAAAATACTTTACTTAAACTTCCCTTTGAATAACTAAATGACTTATTTCCCTAACCTTGCGCATACTTCATCTTGTGAAATTCCTGCGCTTTTCTTTATCTGAGACCTGAAAATGCCACCCTTTCGGGCCGAACCTCCCCTTATAATTAAGCCATCAAAGCTTGAGGGAGAACCTGCGGTTCCAGGCGGTAAACCAAACTCAGTTTCAAAAGGCGCCCACCTTATTCATAGAACAGCATGTTGCCTATATGTGGGCGTGTTTTCTTGTACTTGTACAATACCCAGAAGGTATAAGAGCAGACATCAAGAAAAACAAAAAAAAAGCCGAAATAAGCTGCAAACAGATGTCTCTTAATCCACCCTGCACTTGTTACTCTACATTCAGAGTGAAAAATTAAACAAAATTTTACTTTCATAAAATGAAATCCGGGAGGAGCAATTCCAACCCTTTTTTCGTGAGTATGCGCCGCTTGATTTTTTTTTTTTACCTCATTTCAATTGATTTTCTAATGATAAAAACTGCCCTACGAGGTTGATACTAATTTCTATAACCAAAGCTCTATATTTCCATATCCTGTAAAAAATTAAACTACAAAAAGTAGTTTTTTATCGCCATCTGCTTTACTGTATAATGGTCCGTTTTCTCTGATTGGAAGAGCAACCTATGTTTTCTCGTTTGTTCTGTTCAGAATTAATAGGCTATACTCTCTTTACTGTGGGACATACCCATATGGCTTTCACCAGAGCACACTGTCCCCCCGGCAGAACTGAAATACATATCAACTTAGTGAGATGATTTGACGCCAGTATTAAGAATTTGCATTTGACATTTCGTCATGCATGTACTCAAATTTAAGCTTCAGTCACGGACACAGGAGAAAACTCCACGCAATTAGTACTAGATTCATGACAGTCGATCAATCAAACCATCCGCTCTTCGCTCTTACAAAAGCAAAGTATCCGACGCAAATTTTCGCCACAATAAAACTTATCTGTTTACTTTTGGTATTCATTTCTTTTTTGGCCAATAAGTTTAGAGTGTAACATTTAATCCGCAAAACTTATACTCAACGTAAGCCACAGTATTAACTCAGCAAAAAAAATCAACGACAAAAATAAATCGCCGTATTTGCATTCGGATTGGGGGCAATAAATTACTATTAAAGGCGCTTTGATGCGTCTTTGACAAAAATAGAGATGGAAAAGATATCCTAATGGAAAACGAATAAACAACAAAAAGCAGAGGAAGACTTAATTTTGCGAATGGTTTAATATAATGCATATTGTAATTAAACAAACATTGACCTCTTGTAAGGCATAACTTATCCGCCAATATTTTCTTTCCTTTCAGATAATCACACAGGCAAAAAACATTAAAAAGGACTGAAGTGGATAAGCTGATAACCGAGATTCGTTTAAAATTCGATCTAAAAAGCTGATTTCTGGAATCGCTAAAATTAGTTCATTACTGGGAGATCTTCGCACCTCTGCAATTAGTTCTAAGCCTTGAATGGTACTTAGCGAAGAAAGGGTTTGTGAAAGCTGGCCGACGCTTGCTAATTTGCAAAGAAAGAACTGCACAGCAAATGATTTATTTAGAATTACAAGTAAATGTGAAGTATTACAAGTAAGTGAAGGCGTCTGACGGTCGACGAAAGTAGTTAATTCAAAGTAGTTCAAGTGAAATACAAAGAAGAACACATGTTAAGAACGTTCAACAGTCCCTATTTGCCCAATCATTTCCATTCTATAGTAGTATACAGTCCCATTCTATTATCTACCCTGGGTGCTTCAGGTTTTTTCCTGGCTTCTTTACTAATTCCTGACGAGAAGCCGCAACAGCGAGGAACAACGAGCCCAGAAAACACCGGAAGCTTTATCAAAACGTGAGCGCAGTTTATCTGATGATAGATATGTCGAGAGTAGACCTCTCAGCCAGGGTATCGTTTTTCCGGTTACGTGGTCCAGTTGCCAGCTGTTCGCCCTCAAATATTTTCTGAAACGCATTACAATCGGAAAAACAGCTAGCCATCGATAAGGCTAGTTCAATTTGTGTTCACGATATCTATTTGTTATTGATCGCATGATCGGCAACTCCTGCATCAAGTTTCATCTCCAGCCGTTCTTGCCTTCTGGGTGAAGATGCTTCTAGACGAGAGATTGTTGACGATGCTGCTCAATAGACCTTGTCACGGTTTTCGACGCCATCTTGACGAGTAGGCAAACGCGTGAGAAATTACAGTGATTGTATGAGAATCTAATGTCGAATAATTTCCGTAAAACGGTTGTTTTGAAAAAAATATGATTTGTAAACTAAAGCTTTACTCCTAAAGATTCTCTTGAAAAAATTTGAGGGCGTAACATGCACTAGAAGACCTAGAACCACTTTTTAAAACTTTCTATACATTTGTCTGTAAGAAAGTGCCAGAAAAATTACAGACAAATATATGGAAAATCTAAAGAAAGCCTCTGGAGAAATTTAAGCACAGGTACGCCCCCAAATTTTTTTGGACAATCCTTTGCTTTGCAGCTTTAGTTTACAATTGATATTTTGTTCAGAACAGCCGCTTTACGGAAATTATTCGACATTAGATTCTCATACAAACACTGTAATTTCTCACGCGTTTGCCTACTCGTCAAGATGGCGTCGAAAACCGTGACAAGGTCTATTTTTCCCCAATATAAACTAATTCACGCGCAATTCATGACTCGAACCAGAACTGTTGTCAGTTCAACCAAAGACCTGTGGCCTTGGGCAAGCGACGACGTAGAAGCAGTGGATTCTTTGGCAACTGCAGCCGTCAACCTGCGCACAGGTTGCTTAGGAATTCGCATGGTGTCCCTCATTGGCCAAAGCAGCAGTGGAAGCCCTCAGCACCCTGAGTGACTGAGCAGACCTATTTAGAAACGAACTGCTTACCTCCTAGCACGAGGAGGGGTCTCGAAAAGTTGACCTAAGCATTACGTGCCTCATTCCACCCGGACCAGTGTACCACAGCTGGTAGGGATTCCGCCAAGCGGTGGAAACACAACAACTATACAATTTTATTATTTTACTGAGCTCACCATTGGTACATGGAGTGTTCGTACACTTTTAGACAAGGGAAAGGCTGGCCCTGCCGACAGACATTAATAACAACCTTTATTTATTACCTTTGGCGATAAGAATTACGGTAATATTACAATAAAAATTCAAAACACTACATATTATATATACATATCAAATTAAGTTAAGTTTAGCACCTCTAGGAATAAACGATTGTTTGTGCCTAACAGTGCGTGATACAGGTAATCTGAGGTGCGCTGGGTTAGTCTTACAAGATCTAGATTATGGCCATGATCCACTGGCTTTTCTAAAAAACGTTTACAAGGATGTGCTTCTGATTCTAGGATACGTTTAAATTCTTTCCTCGTCAAATTCTGACGCCTAGTTACAAGTGACTCAACAGTATCCCTAGGGAGACCAATGACATTTGGACACCTATTCTGCACCCTCTGTAGATCTTCTTCGAGGTAAATGGGCAGCCCTCCCGAGACAGGGGAGGCATATTCTAAAACAGGTCTAATCTTAGTGATGTAAGTTGTAAGACCAATGTCCCTGGGGAGATGGGCTGTTCTACAAACCCTAAGATAGTGGATCCGTTTACACGCTTTGCTGACAATACTTGAGACATGTGTATTCCACTTGAGATCGTTCTGTACATATACACCCAGTAGTTTAAACTCTGAAACCCTCTCCAGTTCAGTAGGCCCGATATTAATAGGAGCAGGAATTGGACAGGACTTCTTGAAGGTGATCCACATATCTTTGGTCTTTTTAGCATTCAGCTCCATTTTATTCTGCACAGCCCATCTTTCCAAGTGAGTCACAGCATCCTGCATTTGACTGACAGAGTCCTTAAAGACAAGTTCGTATAGGGTGCAGTCATCAGCGTACTTGCAAGTGGATACAGGTATTCTCCTGGGGATGCAGTCCTCAATATCGTTGACATGCACATTAAAAAGTGTAGGAGAAATGACACCGCCCTGGGGTACACCAGCAATCACCTCACCATGTCTGGAGAGGACTCCCGGGAGCTTAACCTGCTGTGTTCTGCCTGATAGGTAGGTCTGTGTCCATTTCCAAAAGCTCTTGGTGATGCCCATGCCAGCGAGTTTAGTCAACAGAACGCCATGATCCACCAGATCGAAGGCCTTTCGGAAGTCTACAAAGATCACATGCACGCCATTAGACGAACTGAAATAATTGCTACAGAGCTTGCCAAATACAAAATTGGCATTACTGCTCTCTCTCAAAAACAAAACTAGCCAAGGACGGCTTTGCAGGAAAAGGAACAGGAAGTTCATTCTTCTGGAATGGCCGCAGTAACAACGAGCCCCGGGAAACAGCAGTTAGCTTTGCAGTCAAGGTAAACCTGGTGAAAAACCTATCGAGTCTACCCAAAGGCTTTATGTTAGACTACTAGTAATAAAGCTGTCTCTTGCAAACCGCAAACTGAAGAGCAATAATCATCAGTGCCCATGTTTTTTACGTACTTTCGAACCAAAGGTGTTCCCCCTTTAAGACTTCAAGGACGCTCCTATTGCTCACTTTTACAAACAAAAAGGAAATAGACTGTCCTGTGACAACCACAAAGGAATGTCACTACTATCTTTTGCATGGAAAATCCTTTCCAGAGTCATGCTAAATCGACTGATCAAACATCTGAAACAAGGGCTCCTGTCCGAAAACCATTGAGGCTTTCAAGCTAACAGGGGTATAGTAGGTATGATATTTGCGGCTCGCCCCGCTGGTGTTTTTACGCAAAACAACAGCACTTCTATACCACCTTTGTTGACCTGACCAAGGCGTTCGATACAGGTTACTTTAATGACCTATGGACAATCATGACAAAGAATGGATGGCCCCCGCTTTCATCAACATGGTCCGACAGTTTCATGATAGAATGCTGGCACACGTGCTCAGTTGACAATGGTAAGATATCGAGAGATTTCCTGTTCAACACTGGCATGAAACAGGGATTTGTTGTCGCACCAGCCCTCCTCTCGATGATGTTGTCAGCAATGCTCTCAGATGCATTTTCACAAGGTGATGGAGGCGTAGAAATTTGCTATAGAACTGACGGAAAGCTTTACAGACCTGGAGGACGAAAAGGCAACAACCAGAGTCAGTCTTACAACCACATCCGTGATCCACTATTTACAGATGACAGTGCACTGAATGCTGTGAAGCACAGACCCACATTGAAATCGATTTTTATTGAGTCCTGCAGCAAAATAAATCTTGCAGTTTAAGAACGACACAAAGGACCTTGGTTGACACGAAATCTTCTTACCTCTTATGTAACCACAATGTAAGCAAGGAGAGGAATGCGTTGAACGCACAAAATGAGATCATCACAGCAACAACACACTTATTAGTCACTGACAGGTTCCTGATATCTAAGCTGATGATGGATAGTCAAGAATCTGTTTACATTTAGAGCCACGACACCAAAGAACGTAACCAGAAATGGAATCATTTTGCCCATTGACCTTCGGTTTCATTAGCACGACAAGGCCGAACATTTAACATGAGGGTATATCTGTGACAAAATCCAATAACCGAAAAGTGAAAAGGGTTAAGTCAAAATGAAATTTACCGAGTCAAAGTTGGTTAAAAAAAGACCAGGCTAAAAGGAAGAAATACTAAGAAAAGCCACTACCATATAGGTATCACGCAGAAAAAGGCATCACCCTAAAAGGCAACAGGCAAAAAGTCATCACGCAAAGAGGCATCAGGCAAAGAGCCAACACTCAAAAAGGCATCACGCAAAGAGACTTTAAGTTTCAGAGTCACTCTGAAATGTTCCTAAAACAGCTCAATCACGGCGAGGTCGTTGGGTTATTATTTCAACTCGTCCACTTAGTTTATGGGAAATCCCTTGAGGAAGTTCACCGTGTGGCACTAATTTCTTGAACGAGTTAAAATAAATGTTTGCGGGAGTTAATTTTGACGCTTGGCGAAGGCTGTTTTTTTTTTTGTTGTCAATTATTTATTTTTACTATTCAGTTGGAAATTCATTTGAGTATGTATGCAATCAAAGTGCAGGTGAAAAAGAAAACATCAACAACAATAAAAAACGTTTTTTGTAATCAAGATAGCTTCATTGCTTGCTCCAATTCATTTAGCTAGTATGTTTTTTTAAATTTCCCAATGCAGACCATGTGATGTTAACCGAGAGAACTGTTTCTTACAAATACCGCGCTATTCACGTCCATTTGCGAGCATACCTAATGAAGAGAAGCGTGCTCTGAACTGAGAAAAGAAAACCTACAAGCTAAAAAGGTCTATTCCACTTTGTATGTAGAGGTACTTCTGTTCCACGATCAAGTTAACAAATTAACTTTCGATAATTTTTTAAGCCTCTGATGGTCCCAAAAGCTTGAGGTCAGTACTCCTTTATTCTGTGGCAGGTTACTTTATACATTGTATCACTATTGTTTTCGGTGGCCGCCATTTGGACTCTGACACACTAGCACTAACTGCAGATTGTCCAAATAAAGGGTGACCTTTCCCTTAGCACCCTAACTCCAATAGTGATCCACTCCCGTTGGCTGATCCACAATTCTTGAGCAGAGTCGAGAATACTTAGAACCGCACCACCTTTCCAACAAATTGTCCGAGGATCCATCTCCTGTTAAAGAGAAATGACAAAGTATAATTAAGCAATGGGAAGTTACGCTACCTGTATGTACTAAAAGGTTTCCTCATCCGTCTGTTGTTAGATAGGCCGACTGCCTCTCCCGAGACTGTCGTAGAAAACGCCCTTATCATCATCCTTCGACCACCGGAGTGGTCGGGACACTCATGGAGATTTCTTTCCAACACTACGATTCGCAATCGCTGTAATCAGTTCCCTAGTATCAAGCCCTGAATCCCTCACAATCACTTCGAGGTACTATGTTAGCTTGCGTGAATGCACTCCAGAGGAGGAGGTTATTTCTTTATCTGCCCAATAGCAATGACCAGCAAATTGGAGACGCTTTTGCTTGAGTCTCAAAGATAGAGCTGTTAGTCTCGCATAGATCCTCTCAAGCGTGGCATGGTCTCTCCAGCCGATCTTTTGCCCTCTTCTCAGAACGTTTGTATAGTAAACACGCCATACCTTATCTCATCTCAACCCATTTCAATTCGTCTGGAGATCTACAATACACATTCGCGTTGTGATTCACTTCTACTGCTTTCACGGTGGAAAATTGTTTTAAACAAGACCAAAAAAAAACGTACCTTGGGTCTAGCAATCACTTCAACCTGATCTACAAGTTTGCGATGAGGTGTAGGCAGCTTAGCTTGTAGTCTAGACTGTAACATGTTCGCCGCGCCATTAAACATGAAACCACCTCCTATCAGTAGAACAGAGCTGTACATCTTTCGTTTAGTTTCTTCAGTTGCTGTGAAAAATAAAAAGTTTAACTTTGGCATATGGCGCCGATGAACGGATGGAATTTTTATTAAACGAAAAATGTACTGCCGAAATATTGATTAAAGAAGTGTTACTTACCACAGCAATTGATGCTATGTAGGATTGCTTGGTCTAGACCCAAGCTTTTCTCCGAAACAAGCTTCATGTCTTTGTTACCAGTCTTTATGACGGCTGCAATGTCCTGATCATGTTCTGGGACTAGCTCGATATTTGGTCCGGCTTTGGAACCCCCAGATTTGCTGGATTGATCCTGGGTTCTCTGTGACTAGGAACCGCAAAGCACGGGAAATTACTAAGTACATTCTATCGATATTACGAACGTTTACACATGTTTTTCTGAAGACAGGCAAATTGGTATTCAAGAGACCATTATTTTCCGAGTTCCAAAAAGTTTCACTTTCAAAACCTTTTTTGTGAAAAAGAGTTTTATTTCCATGAAAATAAAACATATATATTTCTTTTCACATCGATGGCTTGCATTTAGCCTCACTTTGACACAGAGGCTTGAGGTAACTCGAAAATGGCCTACAGAGTTAGCACGGGACTCTTAGCATGAACAATAATCAAAACAGTTACTGAGGTAGAGAATCACTCAAAAAGAATGCTATGAAACCAATGACAGCCAAAAAACACTCTACGTCTACAAATTCTGAAAAAAGAAAAGTGTATCACCCTTTCGAGGGCACGTTCTAACCTCAAGCAAGTATCTGTCATCGTACAGATCTTCTGGGTCATCATATTGATGATCTTTTGTGTAAACAAGCTTTTCACCAACAATACCAAACAATTGAGGAAAAAACATTCCCTGTTGATAAAAAAAACAAACAAAAAAGTAAACGAAACTAAACCTTAAGGAAGTCAATGTATAATAATTAACACAAACAGTGGTCATTTATTAAGCAAGATTGTTTGTTTCCAGCTTGCGTTGGAAATTTTCTTTCACTAGAGACAAGAAGGGACCATCTTGATCGGCATATTTTAAACAAATTCACAGGGACAACTTCTTGTAGTTGTCGGTGAAATGATCACACTGGGGATTTCATCTATGTATATAAAAACAAAATCCTCAATGCACAGCATAATAAACATCACTGCAAGCAAGTTCTTCTTCATCAAATATTATTGAATGGTCACAGACTATCCCTGAAAATTGAAACCACTTTGCACAGTAGTCAAAAGTTCCTTTAGGAACTAACCTCCTTCCAAATGACAATTAAATTATATCTTTTCGGAAAAACATAAACAAGCTTGTTTTACCATAGGTGCCTCAATAGCTTCATCACCAATCTTTAACTGATACGAGCGTGGAGTATCAAAAGGTCGATGAACTTGAAACTCGTGAACTTGTCCACCAACAATATCCTGGGGTCGAGGAAAATCATCACAAGATTACACTAGATTATGAGCACTTCAGGTACGAATTAGATTATAGCATTATCCACCGTATAACTCACTATCCAGCGGATATATATTATTAGGGAAACCAATTGTGTCATCCACTTTATAGTGATTGACCCAGTGGAAGCGTTATCCTCCTTTCAAACAACTAGGCCCAGGGGATTAATGCATACAAAATTGAGCTGAAAGTAACTACTAATCGTAAAATAATGGTGGTGGTTGAAAAGAAAACAATAGAACAGGTTGTCTGTGGTGGTGGAGAGAAAACAGTAGGAAAGAAGTGGCGGTGGTAGAGGAGAGGGGAAATAGTAGAATAGTGGTAGTGATAGTGGGAAAACAATAAAAATGTGGTGGTGGTTGAGGGAAAACAAAAAAATGTGGAAAAATAAAAAGGTAGAAGGGAGAGTAAAAAAATCGTGCTTCCTGCAAGAAAGAATTAATGGAATTTCTGCCCAAAAAAGGGTCTAGCCAGGGTGCCCTATACTACTTAACTGATCTCGTACCTGGCTAAGATGACAAAAGGTTTCCTTCAGTTCATGGAGAAGAAGGACATCAAGTCTGTTGTTGGCATCACACTCCTTGTAAGGAAAACTAACCTAGCAAGACCAAAATGGAATAGTAACTCACCAGTGTTGAAAAAGTAACATTTATTTTAAGAATAAGAAGTCTTGTTATGTTGTAGGAAATTTTGACACCACGACACCATGACCCATCTATGCTAAATGTTTGCTCTGAACTTTCACATGACCCAAGAGGTAACTTATTGGCTTCTGGGTACATGAAGCTTAGTAGAGTGTCATTATCCCACCTCCCTTTATGACTGGAAGTTCTTTTATGTCCACCTACAATCACCCAGGTGAGAATTAATCTGGAAATTGGCATGGGAATATGGAGGATGCTCCGTGAGTGAAACCCTAACCATTTTGTGATTTTTTCCTAACATGTTTCAGCACTGAACTGTTCTCATGCAGGAAACAAAATGATAAACATTGAAACATTTCCACTCCAAGACCTTGCCTCCAGGGAACACAAATTGTAAAAATCTCTACCTAGTTTCAGACTAAAAGGTATCTATAGCTTACACGTATATGACGGAGTACACAGCTTCACCCCCACCCCTCCTCATTTTACAGCCATACAGCCACACATGCATGTGTATGTGTTATGAAAACTGATGACAGTGTTACAAGCTCAACTGTTTTCAAAGTTGCCTTTTAGTCACCTAAACTTTCTAATGGTTGCCACAAAAAGGGACACTTAGTGAGTGCAATATTAAACAAAAGGTATAAAATATTCCAAATGGTTGCCCAACTGTTGCTATCAAGCAACATCTCAAGGCTTAATACATGAAGGCAGGAAGGGTGAAAGAAGTAAATTATAAAAAATACAAACCATAAAAATTATGAAATTTCATGCATGCATAAATATTTTTCTCATTAAAGAGACCATAAACACTATAAAGAACTGTTTGGGTTAGCACATGTCTACAACAAAGCATACATACACAGTTTGCCAAATTGATAGAGGCAACTTGAATTGCAATTTCAACTTTTTTCCTTCTCACCATGGCAACCAAAGTGGAGCACTGACAAATTGATATTTTGTTTCTGTGGTTTATACTTGTCTTATGTGTACACTTCTTACCCTTCTTAACAGCCAGAAGAATGCCCTTGTGATGTCTCTTCCTCCATACTGAAGCCACAATCTAAAAATTTAATTACCATTTTTTTAGTTTCTTGAAGAAAAAATAATTTAGTCATATGTAAAAAAAAAAGTGAAATAGGACTAGTTACCCCCACCCTGCTCCACACACCCTTCCCACCACCAACCCCCCCCCCCCCAAAAAAAAAATTTCCCAAAAAGAATTCGGGATTGTTAAAAACAGTACAAAAAAAGAGCTCTTGATGTGCCTTTGCTCCCAACTAAAACCCACATATTAAAATTTAAATTCCTGTTTTTTAGTGTATTGAAAAAAAAAAAATTTTGGTTAATTAAAAAAAAAAAATTAATTAGGACTTGTGATCCCCCCCCCGCTCCCCCCCCCCCTCCCCCCCCCCCCCCCCCCCCCCCCCAAAAAAAAGTTTTCCAGAAAGGGTTTGGGTTTGTTAAAATCAGTCTAAATAGTTGACCAACATAACTCCTCTTCCATTAATATTTTACACTGTATCTAAACTGAAAAAAATTAAGGTTAGTAGATACTAGCCTAATAATCAAAAATGAACCTCGTGAAAGTTTATACTATAACGATTGTGAGAATTAAAGTTGTGTTTTTTTGCATTACCTTGAACTTGGAACAACTAAACCATCTTCAACACAACAGATACTTGTCTTCTCATCTCCAACATCAACAACACAAGCAGCACTTAAACCGCAACCAAAAACAGAAGATACTGACTCCTGTCACATGAAAACGGGGAAGATAAATAAGTTTATTTTCCACTTCAGAAGTAAATAAATGTCTGAATAACAGTAGTTGAACTTCAATATGCTTGTTACAATGTATATACATGGCTATAATCCGAGATATACAGCTAAGGAAAATATTTACAAGCCGAGCGTACGAACCAACGTAGGCAAACAATCGATCTCTTTTATGGTTACAGACATTTGGAAAGACCTTTCAACTCATTTAAAAACCCAAGTGCGCCTGCATTTCCAGAGAAAATTATATGTTATCTACTGTCAGACAACAAAATGAAATAAATTTTCATCTTGCTGAGGAAGCAACAAACTTCATGAATGTTAAAGTTCTTCCTTCTTTGTTTTTTTTGCTCATTGTATTTGTTTTGATTTTACCTGCTACCTAAATGTAGAACCTAAATTGTTCAGGGAGCTATAAACAAGAAAACCAACTGCTTCATTTAGCTTCCTAGCTTCCACATTATTTTCATTAACTTTAATTAATCTTCTACTGCAAGTAAATCTACTAGACTGTAACATCAACCATGTACATCGACAAAAACATAATAAAGATTATTCTATTCTATTCTTTTCATTTGTAATCTTTCTAACCTGATGGATGATGGCAGAAGAAAAACCAAGTTTGCAAAGTAAGATATTCATCATTTCTTTGATATGATTCTTGTCAAAAGAGTCTGGCACCACAAGGACTACTCTGTAATACTATGAAAAGAAAATCAATTTTATAACATCTGCAAATAAAAAATTATTTCTACTAACTGAAAACTCCGAGCCAACACGTCTTTGTTCAAACCTTGATTAACTGGAACCTTTATAACTATTTCACTAATAGAGGCCATGCTTTTTCCTTTAAATTGTAACACAAAAGGAAAACAAGAGAAATAGTTTTGACTTATACAGCTGTATTTTCTGCTATGGGGCAAATGGTGTTATAAAATTAACTGGACAACTGATGCTAGTAGAGCCAGTCATTTTAATACAATATAATATTTAGTCATTTCGAGACTGTCAAGTTGTTTTGATACAAGTTCAGTCCACTGAGGTGTTATCAGTTCCACGTACTTGGCTTAAAGAACGAAGAATTTTGACCAAAAAATGTATTTCTTGTTCATGTGCAAACTATACTTGAAGTGAATGAAATTTTTGTGCAGTTTCACTGCTTGAGTTCGTATCAAAACCACTGGTTTCCGTAGAGCCTATAGTATTTAATTTAGTAAATTGTTAAAGGTCAGCATGGAAAACAAACCCCAAGATCTCGAAGTGGGATGGCAAGATGTGTCTGGATAGCATAAGCCCATAAAGTTTCCAGATCAGCACAGACTGCTGTAAGAGACCCCCCTGGTCCATCATGAAGGTTTAGATGCCCTCCTCTCATCGGCCAGTGAAGAGAATATGGTTCACCAGGGTGAATGTACAAAGCCTGTGTGGGTAAAAAAAAATTGTACATGAATTGTAACCAAAGCAACTACATAATCTGTATAAAATAATAGGGAAATTCTGAGCAACTACATGGGTTTTTTGATATAATAATAATAATAATAATAATAATAATAATAATAATAATAATAATAATAATAATAATAATAATAATAATAATAATAATAATAATAATAACATTAATGCAACCACATGTACATTTAGTGCTGTAGAAGAAGGCAAGTGGTATTGCAATGCTGCTTGGCCATTATCTTCTAAATGTTCCAATTATAACAGTTTGCCTTATAGTATGTGGAAATCCAATAATACGGTTTGCATAATAAATTATGTATTTTTTCTTTTTCTTTACCCAGAATAACTATCAATTCCTCCATTAATTTTTGGAAGTCATGTTGAATATAACCTGGATATCAGTGTTATTTTTTCAAGCAAAATGGATGGTTTTTGCCTTTGGTGTGATTAAACCACTCGGTCCATGATAAACTTACTGGTTCACCAACAATGATAGGTGGAGCTGTGCTGGTGTCTGTCCACTTAATTGATGACTCATCATCAACATGGAGTTCAGGTTCAACTTTAGCATTAAAAGCTGAAACCTACAAAATTAATAAATTAGTCTTAAAGAATAATAAGCTCACAACCAAAAACAATATCCATTGGTGACATTACATTCAAACAGAACCATGTAATGGTCCAAATTCACTCACACCCTTCTAGATATCTACACAAAATTCCACCTCTGCAAAAACTGTAGAAGGCAGTTAAGGAAAATTAACAGAATTCTTTTTGCAACTTTCACATCAAGTGTACCTGGCTTGAATTATGTTGTTTTCAGACTGTCCTTCACAGAACCTCCAAACAGAGCAGAAAACATGAAGGGAACTGACTGAGCTGGGAGGAACAACAAGACGGTTCCTTAATTTCCTTCCCATTATCTTTTCCTTTATTCACTTAACCTCTTTCACACTTCCAAGCCAGGTCCAAGTTGTTCAAATTGTGGATAATGCTAAGCATTATGTAGCGATGAATTATTCATTCTGAACATCGACCTTTATTCTCACTATGATAGAGAGTTACAAGATTTGATTTGTGCCAATAAATTTTCACTGTTTCAACAATACAATTGTCCCCAAAAATGCAGAACTTTTGTTCACTTTAGATCTTTGGTCATTACCTCTTCAAAAGATCAGGGAACCCAACCGCGACACATTGCATAAACCTCTATCCAGTGGATAGCATATTGGTTTCCCTGATACTTATCAACTACATAGTGATTTATCTGATGAATACTACAATCCAACTTTTAAACTACTGGGGCAAGAGTTGCCAAAAAGAGGCCTTTGGAGAAGAAAGTCACCATTTAATGAGATTAGTTACCTGTGATACTGTAGTTTGATGCTTTCTTGATCCTGATGAAGATTTTCTGGACCATATAGCTTGTTCAATCACACTGAGTGCCAATTCTTTTTGTGTTTCACTGTCAGGATGATCAATTCCTTCTCGGACCAACAAACTTTGATCAGGGAGATCCACAGGACAACCAGGAGGCTTCCTCCAGGCAATAACATGAGGAATACTTTGGGGTAGGTGGTCTGTGGCACGGCCTAGCCACAGGGACATTGAACCAGGATGAAGAATCACCACAGTAGAAGCCTGCAGTGGCTATAAAAAATATTTTACAAAGTTTCACTTATTTGCTTTTACACCTATTCATTTCTTTAAAAAAAATTAAACTAGTATAAATTAAAAATTTTGAACTGGTTCAAAAATATTTGACCAAGAAAATAAACTGAACTACAACATACAGTATAAACCATTAAACTGTAACTTCCTTGAAATAGACCATCCCATGGAAATGGCCTAAAAGGTGTTTCACAAATGTACAAGGCAATTTCATCCAGGGATGGGTGGCTTTGGAATTGACTGGTACATAATATTATACATGTAGGTATTTTCTTGGCAGTTTTATTTTACTTTATTTCATTTATGTTTCTTTTTTGTAAACTTTTGCATTTACAGGGTTTTTTTCCGAGTCAGTTACACATGTGACTTCCAAAAAAAATAAGAGCATTAGGTTTTCTAGATTTGCCATTTTTTGGCTGACTTATTGCAACAGCATTATGCTAGTTACTGCAGGCAAGTGACAGCTTCCTTCCATGAGAGATTAGGGAGTACTACATGTAGTAGTAGTAAAACTTTATTTAAATGTCAAATGTTCTAGCGTATAAACACACTAATTGGTGACACTGTGTTGCTGTAAAATAAGTCTGTCGGTAAGATGAAAAGGTTATAAAAAGGAACTTAAAAAGATTATGGTTCCCTAGTAACATAGTTCCCTAGTACTGCTCAAAAGTAAGTTACCACCCTCGCAAGACGCGAATCACGTCACATGCTACGCAATTCCTGTAGCGCAGGACACGATTCTTGTAAAATGTGATGGCCTAAAAACTGTACTTTTGAGTGGTACTGTATAACAATTAACATTATAAATAATAATTAATATTAATAATGATTAAAAAATAGCACAAGTGATTAATTCAGGGCCACTAGTTATTCAGTTGAAGTACTGTGCCTTTTTACCCTTGTTAAATAAAGTTGATTATTATTATTATTATTATTGCATAAATGACAATCTTTATATCCCCATGTAAAATTAAATTTCTTAAATCTCTTTTCTTTGTACAAAGTTGAAAAGCACACAAGCTGTTCTTGTCACTTTCCTGTTTTGTTAGTCTGGACCATAAGAAAGGTCCCAGAGCTTAAGCAAAGACATTTTTGAGGAACATAAGTCACCGGAGGTGAAGGATTTTCCCTTTTAATATGCCTTAACACGACCAAATTTGCATTCTTAAGTGTCTTTTCTCTCATAGAGACAATTCGCTTGAAAATTTGGTCAAAATGACGCCCCAAGATTGGAAAAAAGGCCACTTCCAGTTGACGTGCGTCACTCAAAAACTTCATTGCTTAAACTCCCTATTGGCAACACCACCAGGGTCTACACCCATGCACTTGAACAGCAGCATGGGTTCCCTAATTTCCCCTTCCATTGGTCTTGTCTCCTTCAACCACCCTTTAATACCAATTGGAAAGCATAAAGGAGATAAGATGAACAGTTTAATATCACTGTCCAAGATTTGCCATCATCTGAGACCAAATCTTTGATCACATCCAGAATTATATTACCAGTTTTTCAAAGACCCTGGTTGGTGGTCCAGCCAGGGTTTGAACCTGTAATCTTCCGATAGAAAGACCTCAATCATCCATACGAGCTTATCAAACAGATAGAATTCTCTCAATGGGATTCGAAAAAATGACCGTCTGGTTCTTCATACTAGTCTAGATTATCTACCGCTCAACCACAGAAGAGTGAGAAGACTCGTTGGAGCCAAGGGTTATCAAACTAGGTTCATGCTACAATGCTAACTCTATTTATGTATTTTTACGTCTTGACATTATTTTACTCTCTTACCTCAACTGACTCAGCAGGAGGAGGACGTTCAGCTTTTACACCACGAGGCATTTCTTTCAATGTGTATGTTCAAAAGCCGTCAACACAACACAGTTTAGTCAGTTTAGTCTATAAAGGCCAGTGTCGGCCGCCATTTTGATTTTTCCTGCGCCCGCCGGTGGATATATCATATATGATTCCTATAGTATACCGAAAGTGTCGCTGACCAGAAAGATCGCGGCCTCTGGGAACAAGATTGTGCGCCCGCAATAGTTTGTACGGATATAGTCATGCGCACAAAGGGTTCTCCGAGTCGGAATACAACATGGCGGACTCGGGGAAAGGAGGGAATGAGGAACATGAAATGACAAATCGCAAAATGTCTGAATCAGGACAACCAGCAAATAATCAAAACAACCACGTACAGAAGAGTGAAAATTCTAAGAAATCCCTGAAAAAGAAAGGTATGAAGACAGCCGGTTTAGTAAAAAATTTGGCCACATTATATTCTTAGTGTCAAACTGTTTATTTGCTACTGCAAACTAATTGGGACACAGAGGGAACAGAAGCGATAATAAGATGAGGCAGCACACTTCTGAGTGTTATTCGATGTTTTACCCTATACATTGAGATAGTGATATCTTTCAAATACCTTTATTTTCCAGGCTAGATAAGACTGGACTCAGCTGGACTAGCCTGGGACCAGGCCACTGCTGGGCTCTCTTCACTCGCCGATATTTTTCCTATTGACCCCGTTTTGTGCCTCTTTCCCCCACTTTGGAGCCTGGTCCCAGGCTAGACTGGAATCAGGTACTCTTCTGATTGGCTTTTATAGACAATCTTAAACAACTGGAGTAATCTCTGAGTAATGTGACTTTGTTATAGGATATAGCCCCATCTGCTGGTTTACTACATGACAAGGCGTTTGTGTTGATGGACAAAACAATAAAAAATGTTTTCAAAAATTACATAAATTAGTTTCCAGCAGAACGAGACACTTATGTCGCAGATGGCAAGTGTAACATACAAGTCACCCATTCCACAGTTCAGAGCACATGTCACCATGCTACTGATAATGAAATATGGGACTTGACCTATGGAATGTGACCTGTATTTTAGGCCCATCAATGTCTTAAAGTGTAATTGCAAATGAATTACAGACGAACTGCAACTTTGACAAATGCAGACCTGACTGGTGGGTGCTGTTGTTACGTGTAGATGCTCTGAAAACTAGCCCTGTCCATATCCAAGGTTGACAGTAATGTTTTGATGAAAGCCAGGGACGTTTGTCAGAGTGTTTCATGGCATTAGAGTAGGTGAATGCTGCCTAGAAATTCTTCGGTTGTGGAAACTATTTGTCCTACACGTGGTGAAACTGGAAGTCTATTTTATTATTCCTTTTGTTCACGAGAAAATACAAGAGGAAATACATGCAAATTTTTGGAAACTGAGTGTAAAATTTTAATTTCATCTTTTCAACATTCATCTTTGGCTGAAACCTGTGAAGCGATAAATGACAATCTCTTGCCCTCAAACCTCAGTGGTATTTTGGGGAATAATCAGAATGATTGTTTCTCTCACCAGGCCAGCTACAAAATTCCTTTTAGCCTCTATTACTATTTCACTAGGCTCTTTGTTACATGATTGAAACTAAAAGATTCACCGCTCTGTTTGAAATGTTTTCAAGGACGTGATGTACGGCACGTGTACATCAGTATTTCATTTACAGTACAGTAAGGCCACAGTCATTGCATCATTTACACACGTGTAAATTGTGTGCAATATGGCAGATTTACATACAAAATACATGCAAAAAATGTATGTGAAATTTTTTGACACGTAGCTTAAATAATTAAATGCAAGATGGGTGTATTTATCGTAGAGAAATTTCCCCTCTTACTTTTACATGCAAGCTGCGTGTAAAAGTAAGAGAGGATCAGATTAGATCTGCCATTAAAAAAATACTTGCAGATTGTGTGTACAATTAAGAAAGGAAATTTTCCATACTATAAAAACACGCGGCTGTGCGTAATTTAAGCTGCATGTACATGTAACTGCTCGTGTAAAATTTGACATACGTGTTTTTTGCATGTAAATCCACCATATTGCACGCAATTTACTCACGTGTAAATGCTGCCATTCCCATGGCCTGTACTGTAACTTGTTCCAAACATGCTGAGTTTTAGCTGAAGATGATTATAAATGAAAGAAATGTTCAGTTAGTGCTGTTCTTTATTTTCAAATAATAATCAGGTTTTCAAGGTTCAACTCTTCAGGAAGGCGGAGAGCAACTAAACTTTTCAAAAACTGAAGATAGCTAAATGTAATACTTTTTTTGTTGGTAGTGGAAGTCCTGCTTAAAGCAGCTGGTGATGCTCCAATCATGGTGAAGAAGAAATGGCAAGTGGATGGAACAAAACAAGTTGCATACATTATTGAGTTTATTAGAAAATATATTAAGTGTGAGCCTCATGACTCACTGGTGAGTAACATAACTAGTAAGCCATTTCTGAGTACCATACCTATGTATACCATAGTCATAGTAAAGAGAAAGGTATAGAGGGCTACAGAGTAATTGCATGTACAGTACTATATTGTTTCAAGAATAGGTGATTGCACACACTTTTGCTGTGATTTTACACATTCCTTGTGGGATAGAAAAATTGATGTGTAGTTAAATCATGAATGTAGAACTTACTTTGGGAGCGTGAAAGAGTTTTAAATAATAATAATGATAATAATAATATATTTATAGTAATATCAAGAATGTGGGCTATGCAAAAAGTGGAGGTGATACCTGTTGTTGTAGGAGGTTTGTGAGCAATACCTAGAAGTCTGAAAAAGTCACTTGAGAATATTCATGGTATAAGGGTAATTGAAAAGAACACGTGCAGAATACCGCATTACTATGAACTTCAAGAATACTGTGGAGAGTTCTTGAGGTTTGAAAGATGGCCAGACCCTTGTGACTCTTGGTTGTAGCAACATTTTGTATAAACTGCTCCAAGGGAAATTTTCCGGTTGACCCGCAAATTGAGTTTAATTGTTCATAATGATAATGGTAACAAAATAATGATGAGATAACTAAAAATAAGGTATTAGCAAATTAATTGTCTGTCTTTTGCAGAGTCCCCTGCTAACTAGGAAAATGAGATTTGGTCTACAAATTATGCAATAATCCTTTTTTAATCTTCTCCAATAACTGTAAAAAGTAGCCAAAAATCAAGCAAATTATAAATGAGTAAAACTCTTGCTAAGCTTAAAATGACCAAAATGAAAATGGCAGGTTTTTTATGTTTCAGGTTCTAGAAAATTTCTCATTTATTTATCCACTGCTCTGTACTCCATGTAGACATGTATTACACAGCATCAATATGGTTACAAGTTATTGCCTTCTTGGCTCTGATTTTGGAGTTGTTAGTTTGTGTGTGTTGACATTTAATTTCAAGTATGATACATTATTTTATAACTTGTGATGACAACAAGGAACTGAAATAAAACGTCTTCTCATTTCTGAACATTAAGAAGAATAAGCTCCCTGATACCTTGTACATTGGTGTGCATTTAACTAGTGTGACTGTAGTCTCTCCTGCCTTACTATATTTGTAACAGTCTGTTTTATCTTCAGTTTGTTTATGTAGGCCAGTGCTTTGCCCCAACTCCTGACCAAACATTACAGAACTTGTATGATGTAAGTACTGTATGATGTAAATACTGTTTTTTAGTATACTGGGCTGTATACTCATGAAGTGATCTCAACAAAATCAGAGACAAAACCATTAAAAAGTACCTCTAGAAAAGCAATTTATCTAAAGGAAGGAAAAAATAATTTTTTTGTTTTTTGCACATGAAGAAGTCATTTGTTGTCAATGTGTCACATAAGCATAGCCCAAAGAGTAGACACTCTTCCTTGTTAAAGCAGGCATGAGCTACAGAAAGTCAAATTACTTTTCTTCCCTCGTTTTCTGTGAAGCAAAGCTTTAGGTTTGGATACATCGATTAAGCAGGCATTTCATTAATTTGTGTTTTCTCAATACAGGTTTCATGTTAGTGCATGGTAAAAGGTGATTAACCAAATAGCCTACTTTTTTTAAAGTATGTAAGAACTAAAAATGTAGGTAAACTTTACTTGCATGTATTTTTGTTTCTCAGTGCTTTGGAGCTGATGGAAAGTTAGTTCTTCATTACTGCAAGACACAAGCATGGGGATAATCCACAGTGTGCCAAAGAATATTTTTAAGAAAAATATGGAGTTTAAATTAATCAACTAAAATAAGGTTTGATACCTCTTACCAGCCTGGGAAAAAATCAATTCTGCACTGGGGCTGGATTCACAACTTAGCCCCCTAAGCAGCTATGTGTAAGTCAGGATAAAAATTTTGAACTTTTTTTGATAACTATAGACCGTACAATGTAGTTAAGGAAAACTCCAGACCATTGTTCCAGATAAGAAATGGGTCTCGGGTCAATGACCCTACAAAGAAGGCTCCCTGACCCGACAGATGACATATAAGTGTTCTAAATCCAAGTCTAAATCTAAATGTCTGATCTGCAAAGGGCAGTACAGCCCATCTTCAGCAGATATAAGTGTTAAGTGTAATATAACGAAAAAAATTAGCACGTGGTCTTGGTGACCCCTCAGATGGTGTACATGACCTCCCGCTTGAAAGAATTAACTGGAACTCTGCAGACCCTGATGACAAGTTTGTCACTGATGACTNCGACAGATGACATATAAGTGTTCTAAATCCAAGTCTAAATCTAAATGTCTGATCTGCAAAGGGCAGTACAGCCCATCTTCAGCAGATATAAGTGTTAAGTGTAATATAACGAAAAAAATTAGCACGTGGTCTTGGTGACCCCTCAGATGGTGTACATGACCTCCCGCTTGAAAGAATTAACTGGAACTCTGCAGACCCTGATGACAAGTTTGTCACTGATGACTCTATGTACGTACCTGTTTTGACTTGTTTCTTGGGAAACTAGTTAGTTTTGTTTCCCAAAATGGTCAAAGTCCAATCTATGAGCATATATGCCACGATTAATTTCTGACATCATACACTTTGTTGTGTTGTCAGCCACTCAGATGCTTTTGATGGGAGACATTTTCATTTTTAATGTCATGTGATCTTTAATAAATAGTTAAGGGAAGGATGTGCTGTTGAGCAGACAAAAATAGTGTGAGATTCATAATGATTTATGTTATAAGAGTTCAGAAAATGACCTATAATAATTATTGATCTGACCAGGTTATAATAGCCAGTATGGCAAACCCAGTTCAAATGTGAAGGGGAAGTGGAGAATCCAGAGGTTACGGATGTGTGGACATGTTCATTTACACCCATTTCTTGTGTGCCACAATTCCCACCCTTTTCCTTCTTTCCTTTGGAACACCTTTCATGGAGTCAGACTGGTCAAGGTTATAAGTGCAGAGACAGCTTTAATCCATCATATAATACTGTGACAATAAATTGTACTCCCACATCTTTATTACACGCTTCCTTTTATTTCATGTCAGCATTGTGTTAGATTTGTTGTGGTTAAATTTTATCCTTGGTTTAAATTTTTGTTTTTCTTTGTTTCAAAGTCATTTACATATGTACATTCCCATGGCCCAAAACAAGGAAAAATAAAATTTATATCAAGGATAAATTCAAACCACAACAGATACATCAGTGGCAACATTTTTGACCTATATGTAGCATTGGACCAAATAAAGTGACAGATGGAATAACTTGTTGCAATGTCCAAGTCTCCCTCTGTTTCACAGGAAAAATAAAGGCAATAATTTGTAGTGAAAATTTGGCAGTTTATCTGTCTCTCTGTGGCTGCCGTATTTTTAATACCTAATAAGGAGGGAAAAAAAATATAGTTGCTTTCCCTCCTTGAAATTTCAAGACTTTTTAATGACTAAGGATTTATAACTTAAAAGTCTTTATCAGAAAGGATGTATGAAAAAATGAAAACACTGAAGTTGTGAGGCTCCAAGTAAGGAAAGCATGTGTTTGCTTTGCTTATGGTAGCTCATAAACTTAGTTCCTTTCTCTATTATTTGTAATAAAGTAGACGTTATAAAATTTTTATACACTGTATATATGGAGCAAAATTTCATGAATATTTAATAAATTTAAATATTATGATACTAAGAAAATGACTGAATATTTTTGTGTCCAATGGACCCTTCCAC